TTGTCTTTGATTATTTTTTTGTTGGCTTCAACAAAGTTTTCTACTAGTTTTGTTTGTTCATTGTTGAGATGATTTTTGAAGAGGTTTATTTCTGCATTTATTTCTTTTGTTTGCTTGTTAATTTTTGCTTGTTGCTGGTAAGTTTGGTACTCACTTATTAAGGATTGTTCATTACCTTCGTTTAGTAATCTTTCAGGAGTGTAGTTTTTCGTGTCTCTTAGTCAAGTGCAGTAAGCTGGTTCTTGGATATATTGGTTTTGTTGGGAAGGAGAAATAGCGTTGAGTCAGTCGCGAACTTGGTTAGGAGTAAAGTTATGAGATTGTCATTGATTAATTAAGTCTGAGGTAAAGTTGGGTTGGAGATAGGTTCAATCAATAGAGCAGACTAACTCCATAGGTTCTGATTGATATTTTTGTTGATTATCAAATTTGGTTACCTTTTCTTCTCCGCAGGAAAGTTCAGTTGTCGAAGATATTGATAATTGCCTTTTGGTTCTTTTTGTTAAGTCTTCTGAATCACTCTGAGTTTTAATTATTTGACTATTTGAGTTATCCATTCCGATTATTACTTCTTTTTCTTCTTTTTCTTCTAATTCCTCTGATCCTTGGGAGACTTCTACTAAGCCTAGCCGGTAACGAATATTGCCTTTTCTAGCTACCAACAAGGAAAATATCTTTTCATTTTCCTGCTCTTTTTTTTTATTAAACAATAACAAACGAATGTCTTCTCCTTCTTTTTTTTTATCCATCACTTGAAGAGTTTCTTTAGTTCCTAATAAAGTAATGATTTTAACTTTACCATTGCTCTCTACTCCAATCGTTCTTCTATAGGTGTTGCTCTCTATCGAGGATTTTGTATCCCATTTAACTGAAGCACTAATAGGATTATTTATTTCGTATTCTAAACCAACTATTTTGATATTTCCGTCCGGTTGAAAGGTTAATTTTTCTAAGTTAAGAATTACCCCTCCCTCAATGCTTGTTGAACCATTACTATCTATTTCAGGCATTCAACAAAATCCATTTCTTCCTCGTCCATATCATGTCAAAGGTTCACTATAACCATTTTCTACAGCTGTTTTCATTACATTATACAAGGCCTGTTCAAGACTCGCTGAATAATTAACCTCTACCTTTTCTCCATAAGGTAACATCCCCAATACCGAATAGATACCATCAATAGGCAAACTTCTTTTTCTTTTTTTTACTTCTTTAAGAACTTGACTTAAACTTAGAATCACGGTGTCATTTGAATTATACTCATCCTTATAATATACTCAACCCACCGGAGTAGCAATTTTCGAAGATGAATTTCTAAATTTTAACTCAAAAACTACGTCTGCTGTTTGCTTGCCTACTCAGAGTTCTGCTATATGTCTTCCATCCACTAATATGTCATCAAACATAAAAATAGTTTGCTTAGATAAAAAACCTTCTTGATAGGTTCAAGAGCGAGTGAATCATTCTGACCTAATTATCTCTCTTAAGGCATTTTCTAATGATTTATCACCAAGTTTTCTCTGAATAGAAATTAGTGTTGCATCTGAATTGTTATAATAATTTCTCATTCTTTTGACTTCTTCGCCTTTCTCGACTGGATCTGTTTGATTAATGCATAATTGATCAATTCATAAGTAATTAATGCCTAAATAATGACATGCTTCAATAGCCTTGGTCAAACTTTTTTTTGCTCCTCTAGTTAACAAGTTCTCTTCAGATTTTTGCAAACCATAAGCATAAGACAAAGTGGCATAGCTTTTTATATTTGGAATTTCTTCTATTTTTTCCACTTTATTTTTCTGGGTATTATAAATCCTTGTTGGTAAGTAATTCGGAACCAATTGTTGTTTTTTTTTGATTTTTCACGAAAAGGGGTAGTGATTGTCTGGATATACTTGGTTATAGATTACTTCCCCAATTTCGTAATTTTCTTTCAATTTACTTTTTTTATTAATTTCACCAAGAAATTGGAGTGGGATAGTTGGCACTGCTATTATCATTTGAGCTTGTTCTTTCTTTTTTAAGATGTTTAAAGGTGGCTTAATTTGACTATTTTTCTGGGTTATTTCGATTGTTTTACTTTCTTGCTGGTATTCAGGAATGATTAGTTTATGTGTTTTTTGGTCATCGGTAACTATTTGTGGCGATTTGTCTTTACTTTCTAATGACATCTGGCTACTATTAAGCTTAGTTTCTAGTTCTACTTCTCAACTTACTAGTTCTTCGCAATCAGTAAGAATAAGGCTTATTCCATTCATAGTGCTTTCATCTAATTTATTTCATAATTGATTCTTGATTTCTCCACATTGTTTCTCATAGTCTCAACACTTCTTTCCATAATCAGATACACTAGAAGATTGTTTTTTAAATCTAGCAAATTCTAAATGAAGAGAAATTAGTTTTTGCACTAGTTCTTTTTCTGGAAAGAGGCGAAGAAAGGAACTAATTATTTTTTCTTTCTGATTTTTGATCAAATCAGTTAATTCTTTAATTCTGTCTTCTTTCTTTGCTAGTTCCAGCTTTAGCCCGCTGTTTCTTCATGCTTGAATATCATAGTAACCAAATTCATCTTCTTGATAATAATAATCTTTTAGTTCTTCCATAAGTTTTGTGCAAGAAAATGTTCCAAAATCTTCATCCTCCTCGCTTTCTATGTAGACTTTTTTTACACTCTCTGGCAAATATTCTATCCCAGAGTCAATGTTTGTCTTAATAATGTCTAAATAGTTTAATTTAGTCATATTTTTTAAAGGTTCTAGGGAACCATAGAAGTGACTATTAGGTTCTCCACCACCTTCTAGGCTTGTTCAATGGAACCCTAAACTAAGATCAGTTAAATTAGTAAAGGGAGTTAAAAAAGACAAATCTCGGGGAGTGAAACTGTTACCGGCTATATTTAAATAGGTTAATTTTTCGGGATTCAATTTAGTAAAATCAAAATCAGTTAACAGGTTATAGTTAATATCGAATTCTCCAATGTTCGAACACGAAATTTTATCAATGTCTATACTAGTAAGCGAACAACCTTCAGCATTAAACCTGCTAAGCTTTGGGCAGTTGTTAATGATTAAGTTATTAATTCGATTTCCACTAGAGGAAGTATAAAATCTAGTTAATTTTGGACAGTTACTTATCTTTAACTTAGTAATGTTTTTGCTTCTAAAGAAAGTTATATCATTTAACTCAGGAAAATTTTCAATTATTAGTTCACCATATAATTCTTTGCCAAATCCAGTTTCTATTTTTTTTATTTCTTCTCTTCTTTTTTGGAAAGAGTAATTAAAATCTAATCAATTCTGAGCATTATGATATTCTCTTCTCAAAACCCCTGCATTAGTAGGCAACTGCGAAGCACTATGACCTTTTTGTTTAGAGTAAAGAGCCAAGTCGTGTTCGTCAGTCTTTAGACCGATGCTGATTCATTCTTTAGTTTCTTGACAACTCAAATTATTATTTCTTCAATTTTTGACTGCTTCTATTCCGTTCGGATCAAAACCCATTTCTATTCATTCTTTTGCCTCTTTATAGCAAATATTTATGCTCTCTCATACTTGTTGAAAAGTCTTATTAGAATTATACATTTTTTTTCTAAAATCTGGATGTATATTTTTTCAATTTTTTTTTGTTTCTTCATTACTAATAATTGGTTTAGAGGCTGAAATTTCGTTAGTTAGAAGATTAACTGTTTGATTGAAAGAAGCAAGATAATAATCATAATTAGCCCCACTAAAATCTTGATTTGAATCAATATATTCTTGATACTCTTGTCATAAATTACTATGATTTCCACTACCAATTATAACTGAGCATTGTTTTGGAGTTTGATACTTCTCTCGTAAGTAATTAGCATAATCATAGTTGGTGGGAAGAACACCAATATTAATCCATTCTTTACATTCTTCATAACTAAACCCTCTGTTTTCTCAATCTTTTTGTAATTCCGGAGTAAAGTCGGTATGAATACTTTGTCAGTTAATGTTTTGGGTATTGTACTCCATATTATTTCCTTATTTTCTTACGATACTTAATAAGAACAAAGATTAAAAGCAAAGTAAATAGTCCAACTACTCCACAACCAACATAAAGAGCAGTTTTATCCTTTGGTTTAGAGCTATCGCTAGCATTAGAACTATCCTCTTTTTTCAATAATTCCGCCAACTCTTTCTTTTTACTAGTTAAAAGTGCTTCTTCCGTTTGGGTTCGAGCGGATTTATTTTCTAACTCTTTAATTTCCCTTTCTAAAATAGTGATTTGAGTAGTTAAAGGTAATTGCTGATCTAATTTTTTTTGTTTATTTTCTAATTCGGTTAATTTCTGCTTCTTTTTAGTTAAATCTGCTTGCTGAGCAGGGGTTTTAGTAGCATTTTGTTCTAATTGCATGATTTGAGTGCGTAATTGTTGCTGTTCAGAGAGGTTTTGCTCTCTCTCTCTCTCTCTCTCTCTCTCTCTCTCTCTCTCTCTCTCTAGGTTGTTATTTTTATTGCTTTCATCAGCATTACTTTTCTGATTTTCCACATAATCATTAAGTCCTTGCTGAAAATCATCTACCATATTATTTATGTCTTGTTGATTTTTTTGTAAGTTTTTTAGTGCTTCATCATTTTTCTTTATACAAGTAGAACAATAACAAGTTTCTTCACCAGTAAGTAAATTGGGACAGTTGGAACCGGAACATGTTTTCTTGTTCCAAAAAGTATCACAGCAATTATTGGAACAAAACTTATGGATTAAGTTTTCGCGGGGATTGGTTTTGTATCAATATTGCCCAGAGAAGAATTTATTACAATGGTGGCAGATTATTTCAGTATTGTTTTGTTCTTTTAAGTTATTTTGATTTCAGGAATTGAGACATTGTTGGGAACAACAATCATAATTTTTAGTAATTTCTTTACCTCTTTTATACTCTCGCTCAACTTGAAACTTCTTCTTGCAATTTTTACAAGTAAAGTTTTTTAATTCATCTCCAAAAGAAAACTGCCATTTTTTATATCATTCATCAAAGCAATTTTGATTACAAAAAACTCAGTGATTTTTTGAGTCAGTGGCATTATTATAACTTTTTGCTAGTTTTTTAGTTCTTTTGTCTCAAATAAAATGATAAAGATTGTTCTTTTTATTACACTGAGAGCAATGGGAAAGTCGATTTGCTTGATTTTGTCCTTGACTGTCTTGGGATAAGTTTCATAATTGTCTTACTACTCAGTCGTATTCAGCAACACTATTACTATTAACTTCTCCACTCAAGTTATAACTGTTGTAATGTCCGATAATCAACTGGGAGTAAGTAGAATGCTTCCTGTGAGCGGACTCAGCTTTTTCGTGCTGTTCTTGTAGATTAGTAATTATTTTGATTTTTGCTAGTTCTTTTTTTGCTTCATCTAAATTAGAAAGATAATTAAGGACTAACAATTTAGCTTGATTTTTGTCCATGATAAAAAAAGATAATTTAACTCAAACTTACTTATATGAATTAATTTTATATAAAAAAATTTTGGACAACTGAGTTTTTTAAAAATTTTCCTTAAGTTAAAAAAGAAAAAAATAACTAACCTTTCAGTAATCAAATCAATAACACTATCGCAGCAATAATCATTACTTTATCAGTAAAGGATAATTTATCTAAGCCTAGTAAACTCATTAGATTACCACCGCCACCCAATTCTTTTCTCAGTTTATCGACATCATTTCTTAAACTGCTTATTCTTCTTTTGCCACTATCTAATTGCCCGTTCAGAATAATTAGTTGATTTCTTAAGTATTCATCGGTTTCGTGAGGTTGCCGTTGGATATTGCCGTTAATTTTACCAATAATGGTATTTATGGCATCCTGTGTTTGATTATTGTTATTTATTTGTGTATCTATTTCATGCTTAGCATCTTTATACCTTTGGTCTTGCAGAAGTATTTTTTCTCTTTCGGCACTTTCCTTATCGGCTTTATCACCAACTAAGTAGCCACCAAAGCCAGCGGCCGCACTCAAACCAACTATGGCCGGAGCCGCTAGGCCACCAGTAGCTACACAAACACAAGCGGCACCAGCTGCAGCAGCACAGGTACATAAAGTTTTTCAGATTCCCATGTTATTTAATATTCTTAGAGTTGACTTTTAGTTCAGCAACTTCTTTTTTAATTTTTGTTAATGTTTTTTCGTAATTCATAATTTCTTGTTTTCAATTGTTGATAAATGTTTGGATTTTTTCTATTTTTGTTTCTAATTGTTTAATTTGTTGTTGATTCATGTTTTTTTATCTTTTGCTTAGTATTTCAAATATTTTCTGAATATCAGCTCTTATTTCTTCATTTTTTTCAGTTCTGCTGTCACTTAATTCACTAATTATATCATCAAGTTGCTCATCGATTTTGTTAATTAGATTTGTAAATTGAACTTCTAGCACTTTTTCTACGGTCGGTTTTCGAGGATTAATAAACTTACCGCCATAATTCATTAGATCCCCACTATCGTATAGACTTCAAAAAAACTCTAAAAATTCGCCAATTTCAATGTCTTTTAGTTCAACTTCATCGTCTTCCTCATCAGTTTCTTCGTCTTGTTTAGGATCATACTGAGCATTAGGATTTTTTTCAATAAACAATTCTCAAAATTTTGGTCTATCAGGTTGGTCAGGGTCATTTCCTAAAAACTCTTTTTGAAACAACTTAGTATTAAACCGCTTTACTCACTTATTATCTTCATTATTTAAAAAATTTGTTTCTTGTCATTTTTCGGGAAGTTGATCAAATATACCGGCTTCTTGGGCATATTTTTTAAATTCTCCCCAAGTCCAACTGAAATCGAGCGGATTACTTAATCTTCCTTCGCGGTAAACAGCACTATCAACATCGTTTAAGTAATTGGTGGCAAAAGCTCATAAATTATTACTACGAGAATCTTTATCAACTCCTTCTAAACAGTCTTTTAAAAATCTTAATTTGGTTGGGTCATGGGTTAGGGCATTATTAGAAATCTGGTCGGCTTCATCCACAAACAGAATATAGCGAACTTCACCGTTTTCTTCTCGTTCAAGTCCGCACTCTCTAACCAAGGCTCATTCTAATTCACTAATAGTATATTGAAACTTTTTCAGCGGTAAAAGTCCTGATTCTTGGTCTTCTTTGTTAGGAGTCAAAGCCGAACCTTTTATTTCCACTACTGGATACTTATTGGCCTTGACACAAACATTCTTTATTGTGGCTGTTTTACCCGTACCCGGAGCACCGTAGAACAAAGCACTGTTATCCTTTTTATCTGAATCAGGTGTGCCTCTGGTTGGGTCAACTATTACTCTTTTTTCTCAAGCTTTAATTTTGTCTGATAAGATTAGTTCTTCATCCTTGTCGAGCAAGGTACAGTCAATTTCTGCTTCTTTAGCTTTTTCGTAATTTTCTTGCAGAGCAGGAGGAAAATGAATTTTATAAACAGCAGAGCGAGAAAAGTAAAAATTTTTGTTTTTATCTCCATCAGGGAAAATGCTGGCATCTTCTTGGTATTTTCTAACTAATGTGCTTCGGAACTTCTTTACTTCGCGGTCAGCTCAACTATGAACTGGTAATTCTCAGATTCTTCCTTTATCTCAAGCATCCGCTTCTAACTCTTCGGGAGTTTTTTCTGGTTCTTTATTTATTTCCTCTTTTTCCATTTTTTTCTTATTTTCTTCTTCGGGTAAGTAGACTAGGAAATAATAACCAGCAGCACATAATAAAAGAACTATCAGTAATTGCTGTTGCTGCTTCTTTTTCATTATTGTTCTTCATTAACTTTGTTGCTACCATTCATGGCTTTCATTAGCATCATTTGTCGCATAAACTTCTTATCCTCTTCAGCATCTTCATCTCTTTCGATATCTTTTTGAGTGTAGAGGTAAAATAATACTCCAATTAGTGCTATTGCCATAAAGATTTGAGTTTTATATTGCTCAAAAAAATCTTTGGGATCTTCTAAGGGATTAGGAGTTGGGGTACTTCCACCACTGCCATCAGGTTTTGTTTTGGGTTTAGGAGGATTTTTTGGAACATTACCTCCCAAAAGTGTTGTTAAATCATCCAAATTACTGAACCTACTTAAATCGGCTAAGGGGTTTTGTTTGATTTTCGACTTTAATCTTTTAGCTTTTTCAGATATTTGATTAGCCAATATTAAAAACTTGGTTTTATCTTCCGGACTAGTATTAGGGTCATTGGCCTTTTTTACATTTTCATCATAAGCAGATTCTAATTCTCGGGCTTCTTGCTCTAATTGTAGCAATTCCTTTTGGTGCTTAGCTTCTAACTTTTGTACATCTCCCAATTGTCTTTGTAGCTTGGTAGAAAATGTGTTAAGGAATGGCTTTAAAAAACTGCCGAAATAATCTTCTCAAATACAACAAACACCAGCCACTGAATAATAATTGGAAGTTTGACACTGACCAATAAGTCCTTGAATTTTGTTGATTAGAAATTGCTTCTTCTGATTGAATATTGTTTCATTAGCTGATAGTTTGATTTCGCCAACGCCATCGGATACACTAGCATCAGAGTTGAAAAATACCGCTAATGCTTCACAGTCTTCTTGAAGGTTGTGTGAACCGCCTCAATTACACCTTCCGCCAGTTCAATAACCAGAATCACCATGTTTTTTATTACCAGCTGCTATTCTGCTTTTAGCGTTAGCATGAAAGCGGTTTTTTAAGTCTCCAGCGTTAGTAAATTTACCACTAATGACTTTTTTTGAACTTCTATTTTTTCTTCCCATAATTTCTTATTTCTTAAAATTTCTTGCTGTTAAATTCTCTTTCTAAGGTTTTTGCGTCATATTTTACCATAATTTTCTAAATTCTATTTACTTTTCCTTAATTTGCAACAACAACTTCCCCACCTCTTTTCCATTAAACCAACTCAGTGCTCCACATGGCACTAATACCACTCAATTCATTATTGTAAGCAGTTCTAGTCAAAACAAACTACTAAGCGGGTAATAGTAAGCATAGTAAGTAATCATTCCAGTCACTACTAAACCGCCTATTACTACTGCTTTTTCACTCCAGGGGGTTGCTTTTCACTCGTGATTAGCTCAGGGAGGGATTGGTTCCTGAAGTAATCTAATTCCAACTGGTAAGCCAGTAAGTGTTAAAGCACTAATTTTACTTCAATATCTAACTTGTTGTTTTTTATATTCGCAATAATTATTCATAAAAGTGTTAAATCTCCCCCTTTTTATAAAGAGCCATTAATTTATTCAATTGCTGATCAGCAATAAGATCTCTTATTTGCTCTAACTTTTTTTCTAAACTGATATATTTTTCGCCCTGAACTTTTAATTGAGTTAAATAACTTTGCTCATCCTCTTTTCAGTGTGGGGCTTGATAATCATTGCTGACAATTTGATTTCTTGCTCACAGTTCTTTCTTTATTGTTAACATTTCTTCGCTTAGTCTAATAAACCGTTGGCGAGCTCAAACCGGGTATTTAATAGCCAATTCTTCCTCTTTTTCGGCTAGTTCTCGGTTCAAGGAACTAACTTCCTGATGAAGAGTTGCTATTTCTTTTTCTAATTGGCTGAACTCTGATACGATTGGGTCATTGCTCTCTTCTTGAATATCATAATCGGATAAGTTGGTGTTTTGGGCTCGCAGTTCATCCACTCTAACTCTTTTATTGATAATTTCGGTTTCTTTACTGGCAATTTGAGCTTGGAGATTAGTTAGTTGGGTTTGCAGTTCTTCAGTAATTGTCTGAGTTTTGAGTTCTTTTCATTCTTGGATAACAGTCAGTAATTTGGCTTTGAGAGTAGTTCAGGTCACTAAAATCATTTGACTGTTTTTTTTTTTTTTTTTGCGGATTAGTCATGTATATTGTGCTTGGTTTTAAACTCCTGCAGACATAACTTTACTTCTTCAATCGTAATTATTGGTGCAATACTTTTGGCACCCAAACTGGCTAATATTTGCCCCAAAGCAAATTGATAATCTTCCGCATCAGTCACGGCTTGACCAGTTGGTGTTATTGCCAATTTACTTTTTAATTCTTTTCAGGCATTTAAAACTTGTTCTCGTAACATATTAGTTTAGTTGTTCCCCTAACTCTTGAAATTCTTTCAATAATTGCTCAAGTACTTGCTCATTCTCAGTATTCTCTTTAAGAGCAGTTTCAAGTTTACGATTGCTTTCTTGGAGTTTGTTATTTGTCTCAGTAATGGTTTGTTGTTGGGTGGCTAATTTAGTGGTGATTTTCTGTTTCAAAGTGGTGAATTCTTTTTGTAAGAGTTCTAGTTTATTTTTGAGCATGGTTATTTGATTTGTTTGTTGAGGGCTTGGATATCTTTGATGAGGGTGTCGAGGGTTGATTCTAGTTCTGGTTCCGGGCAGTTCAGAGCATCCGGTCCGACAGTAATTATTTCTGAGTCAGTTTGGGTAGCTTGTTGGTGGGTCAAGGGCTTAGCGTTAGGTGGTGGGTTGGAACTAATACTTTTTTGGGCGGGTAGGTAAAGAAAAAAGTAGTAGAGCAGAGCAATTATTAGGGCGTAAAATAGTAAGTCATTCATGTTATTGGTCAGTATTTTTACTTAATAATCAAGCTGAGCCGCAATAGAGTAGAGCAATGAGAATAATTGGTCAATAATCAGCACAAAAGTGGGAATTAGAACTGGGTTCTTGATTATTCAGTAACTTTAATTCTAACTTAGTGTTTTTAGTTTGGCTTTGATTTAATTGCTGCTGTAATTCCAGCTTTTTTTTATTAGTGGCTAAGAGTTTATTTTCTAAGCGGTTGATTTCGGCTACTCCTTCGCTAATGTTGTCATCTAGTTCTTTTTCTAACTCTTGCTTGGTTTGGTAATAGTCGCCAAAGTCTTTAATCTTTTCTAATCTTAATTGTAAGATTTGTTGTTCTAACTGGGAGATGTGGGCTTTTAATTCACTAACATTTTCTTCCGGAGCCTCAACAAAACTTTCTTGGGATTTTAACTCTTCTTCTAGTTCGGTAATCTTGGCTTGGGCAACTTGGAGACTTTTTAAATAATTCTGGGCAGTATTTTGGGTAAAAGTGAGGGTTTGTTTTAGTTGAGTTATTTGTTCGGTGGGAGTGGGTTGGTTAATTGGGAGTTCTAATTGGGACTGGGACTTTTTGAGTGGGATATTAGCTAGTGTCACCGGAATACTATCGGCACTCTTACTTTTCCGTAAATGCGAAGGTTTAATACCGGGTCTGATTGTCTTTTTTAACTCAGCTTGTAATTGGTCTTTAGTCATTGTCCGAGTTAGTGCTTTCATCAGCACTTAAATCATAGTCTTCGGCATCTCAGAAAGTTTCCTTAGATTTACCTTTGCGTTCAATGATGTCATCCGGTTTATCATCTGGTTTAGGAAGAGTTTTGTTTTGCTGGTGCTTTCAGTAGAGATAGAGCAAGACGAGCAGAGCAATTAGAATTAGGGTTTTGGTCATATTATTTAGGTTCTTTTAACTTCGCAACAGCCTTTTTTAGTTCATCAATCTGCTTCTGCTCCTTGCCATTCTTTTTCTCTAATTTAGCCGTGCGTCAGTCTAATTTCAAGGAGTAATTAAAAAACATGGCTAACATGGCTAAAATAACGCCACAAAGAGCTAAACAGAGATAAAATCAGTTGCTGCAGTCCATGAGAATTAAGCCGGCTCAATAATTTTCCCTAAACTGACACCAATTTGTTTTCAGTGCTCAAAAATCTTTTTTTTCTCAGCGGCACGAACTTTTTGGTGGGCTAACATTAATTTTTGGGCATTCTGCTTACAGTGCGAAGTTAGTTGGGTGATTTTGGTTCCTTTGGGGAGGCCTGGTTTAGTTTGTTCGGCACAACAGTAGTAGTAATCGTGGGGGGATTGAGGGGATTTGGTCGGAAGTTTTTTAGTTTTTAGGGTAGTTGGTAAATTATTTTTCTTGATTTTATTAGATTTTTTAGTCATGTCTTTTGGGCTTTGATTTAATTGGTTCTTTAGTCTTTTTCGTCCGGCGGGAATTGACCGCAAACAATTCTCGCAGTAAACTCGATAGTGAGGCGCTTCATATTTTTCATCAGTGGCCAAAGAATAAAAAGTAGCGGATTGATATTCTTGACCACAACTATCACAACTAAAATGACGGTTGGGTCAACTTTTAGTTAGATGTAAATAGCGAGTGGTGGCTTGATCAATACAACCTAGTGGTTGATCATAATTAGTGGCCATCGTTAGTTAAATTCTCAAAATGGACCGGGTCATAACAGTCATAAGCCGCTAAACTGCGGATTAGTCCTTTGATAACGGCAATGAGGTATCAGTAGGTTATTTCTTGGGCGAGATAATCAGTGTCGGGCATGTTTTCAGCATCGTATTGACTTGCTAAATCGGAGCCAATAGTGCGAAAATCGACATCTTTTTCCAAAAATAAGCCGACTAGTTTAGTTTGCTTATCTTCATAACGTCAACTTTCGAGAATCGGTTGAACATTTTGCAGCGGGATATTGTGGGTGAGAATTTCATGGATTTTTTCTTTGGCTTGGTCAGCAACTTCGGTTCAAAATTGTTGTTCGGCTTGCTCTCGTTCCTGTTCAGCAGTCAGTTTTTTAGTTACTTTTTTATTCATATTTTTGGTTAAAGCACAAAGTTTGCAGGGGCGGGGTTTGTGACCGCGGAATTTAATTTTTCCGGAACCATCGCACTCAGCGCAATTACTTTTGGTGAGATAGAGATTGCCGTTAAGGGCACAATCAACACAGTAATCATAATTGCAGTAAGTAGCGAAAGAGTCACCGCAACCAAGGCATTCTTTGGTTTTTCTGGTCAGCATGGACTAGCTAGTTTGATTTTTTTGGTAGAAGTAATAGAGGGCTATTGCCACTAAAACTACTGCCAGAATAGTTCATTTGTGTTCTTTTAATTTAGTTAGCATAAGGTTTTAGTATTCAGATTTAGTTTGGTATAATTTTCAAGCATAGGTGGCTACCACATAAGTGACAATGCCAATCGCTAAATACTTGAAGCGATAACTCATAGTTAATTGGTGATTCATATTGTTTTAGATTAGATTTTTAGTTAAAAAAGTTGATAATTAGGTGCGGTTAAAGTTGAGGGTGGGTTAGGATTGGTTATTGTTTCTTAGATCTAGTTCGGGGAATAATATTGGGTTGGTTGAGATTGTAAGAAGGATTAGAAATAAGAATTAAATCTTTTTGGATGGCTTGCTGAAAAGCTGGTCGCATGTGGTTTCAAGCCACCAGTTCTACTTCAAATGGTAAATTAGATTCCGTAAACTCTTCTCGCATTTCACAAATAACACTACTAGGAATATTATCATAATAGCAGATATCGAGGTCAGAAATTCTGCGAGCAGTTCCTTTGGCTCTGGAACCATAAGCATAAAATTGGTAGGGGTATTTGCTGAGTATCTCTTGGACCATTAGTCAGTGTCTATTTTCCATTTGTAACATAAGGCTTAATTTTTTTGATTAATAAATCCAGATCTTTGAGGAATTTAGGAAGAATTTTCCAAACTTCATAAAGCACATCTTCATTATAAGTATGAACAGTTAAGTTACGCGTATCTAAGTAACTTACCCAAGTGTCAAAATTATTAATTAAACCCGTCAGATAAGCTTTGCGGAAAACATCACGGGGAGAGTAAGACTCTTTGCCATGTAAAATGAGAACTTTTTTGAGAGCATTTCAAGTTAGTTCATAGCAAATTTCGAAAGCTTGCACCGCTCCCATATATTCGTATTCATTTTCCGCATCTTTGATGATATTTTTTAACAAATTTCGAGCGGAAATTAAAGGTTGGATATCAATTATTTCTGTAGATTGCTTAACCATATACCAATTTTATTTTCAAAAGTAAGCAATCAGTAATAAAAAAAAGATACCTAAGGCAATCGCCACCAGAGCTCGTTGCGTTTTTTGCCCATAAGCAATATTTTTTTGCAAGAGGTCTTTAAATTCCTGAGTTTTAGTTTCAATAGTTGCTTTTAAACTTTCTTCATAAAAACCGGTTAAGGCTCCTTTGAAATCGGGGAGATAGTCTTTAATTCCCATAATCTATAAACTTTCTAGAGATTTAATATAGTGATAAACAAATATTCCCACGAGAGCGGTGGCAATTAGGGTGTAAGTGATTAATTGGGTCGTTTGATTATCAGCAGCACCAAGCGGTCGAATGGCGGCTAAACTAGTGCTTAAATCTTGGACGACACTAGTTATTTTGCTTAGTTGCTGCTGGTTCGACTGAGTTAGTTGGTACACCATGATTAATTTGTTCCGTTTTGGCTTGGCGCTGGTGAAATTTAGTGATGGGGTCGGGGTCAGTGGCTACTTTTGCTGCGGTGGCAACTTCTCTTTCTCACGGCTTAAATCGTCAATAAACTTCGTTATTTTTATCGGTCAGGGGGTAAGAGATAAATTTTTGGATGCCGA